TTGGGAGAGAGTCATATTAGTGGGCCAAGTTCGTCTTTAAGATGCCAACAGACATTGGAGAGCATTGGTGTGGTCTGGTCGGAAACTATCTGTTCATCCAGATTCATGTCTATAGCACGGTTATCTAGCTCCAGTCCATAAGGGCCACATATAGGTCACATTGTTGGTGCTGATACAGTTGTTAAAACACAAAAGTTAATAGTGCTCCTTTAAAAATTGGTCACTAAATGCATTGAATCAAAAGATCAGGCCACATGAAAATGATGTTGTACCTGATGTTGTGTCAGACCCTGGCTTCTGCTCCTCCTGGCCCCCCAACCCAGCTCCTGGCTTCCTGTGAAGTTAAAGAGGAACTTTATCCTCCTATTTATTATCTACCAACACAGTTACTGTCAAGGTTGCCAGCGTGCTCATTTCAGCTCTCAGCCAAACTTTCAAGCCCTCAAAGGTCTGGTGTCATAGCTGAAAAAGAAGGGTCACCAGCACTCCGTTTTTTTGACGCATGTTAATAATATCACATAATCGCAACGTTTCTGGGGCACTTAGGTTACCCTTCATCAGGCAAAATATTGTGATCATAGATTAAGGCAGACAGTAATTTGGTGTCATAGCTGATCACATGTGCATCACCATGGCAACTGCAATCCATTAGGGGCTAAGATGGCTCCTTCCTTTGCTGTAAAATATAGGAGGGTGGACTTCCACTTTAAAGGGTTCCTACCCACCTTGGGGCGTTCCAGATCCTGCTGTTACATTCTCCATAATATACAGTTAATAAAAGGAAGGGAGAGTGGGAACCCCTCATAATGTCCACAGCAGGTGTGCAGACCCGGGGACTCACCAATAGAGTCTCCAAGAGATAGAAAAAACTGCTAGGTAGTTTAATCTCTACCATCCACTCCAAACTGAATAGCTAGTTCGGATGAACTGGCCCTTAAGGTTCCATTCACACGGGAGGGACAGGTCCAGCGTGTTGCATCTAAGTGCAAGCACCCAGACCTCCATGGATGTGCAGGTTTGGGTTGGCGTGTAATTGCATGTGGCTGCATACAGCTGCGTCCTCCCATAGGGATGTACAGAAGGCTGTACGCAATTACACGTTGCACCTGTGCCTCCCTGAAGCAGGTCTTTGTGCACCCCCATGTGAATGAGCCCTAAATATTACCTTTCCTAGTTCAATGCTGCGACTATTTGGCTGACAGATAGCACAGGTTTCAGGTGCCCACAAGCAGATCTTTCCATGTCTGCATCTCGCAGGTTAACCGTTCCGACTGCTGCTAGCTCAGTTATTTTCTCTGTGTGGTTTGGTGAGGGCAAATAAAAAGGACACAGACACGGCAGCATCTAATCCCTAGTGAGGGCTGCCCGGCAGGTCTCTGTAGCATCGAGCCTGGCTTTACGTGCGTCAGAAAATTATTACTTACGCTGCCCGACTTTGGTTCTGCTATAAACCTTCACGGGGAGAAACCGCGTTTCCCTGTACGGCGTGCGAGGCCCCTTAAATAAGCACCACTGTGCATAGTCTATCATTAAAAGAAACTGAATCCTATTTATTTTGAAATATAAATGAACGGGGCCGCGTGTGGTTTTCAGTTTTCCTTCTCAGTGGAGCTTTGCCGGTCTGATTTGGCACCGCCACGGCTTCCATCGGCAGGCGGCTCCTGGGGACATTTTCACTTTTTTTCTTTTGCCAAATATATCTGAAAGTAATCAGTTTAATGTCAATAACTTTATCAGTGTGTGCTAGCTTTGTTCCTGAGGACAGTGTGTAAATATATCTGCACATTGGGGGAAGCCATATTTGCTTATTGCATATGAAGGCTTGGCTTCCTTGCATGTATAATGACTGTATTTTACTGCTCCTCTCTCAGTGCAAGTCTGTGGGTTAGGTCAGACCGGACTGAAAACATTAAACTATAAGAGTAATTGAGCTTATTTTAGCAGCCCTTAAAGTGAACCTGCGGTTGTAAAGAATTCTAAAGTGCAGAGTGTCCTACCTGGACACACTTTTAATGTAATTGTCGCCCAAGCATTTTGATATTTAGCTCTTCCCTCATCCTGCGTATATGACTTACTGTGGGATAGTAGGGCTACCTATCGCTGCCAGGGACGGATTTCCCTGAAGGCCAACCAAGGCCCGGCCTTGGGGCAGCAGGGAGCAGAGGGGCAGCAGGGGTGTGGAATTCCTATCTCCCGACGCCTGTGACTGCAGTTTTGGCCAAGCAGAGCTAAATGTACAGCGGGGAAGCCGCTGCTTGTTTTGCAGATTTGATCTCAGCAATGTCGCCGAGATAACTTGTATGCAACCTGCAGGTCTGCCATTCTCCATTGGGGTTTGGCGGGTAGGGGGGGCGCATTGAGGAGCCTGGCATAGGGGTAGCAGAGAGAGTAAATCCGGCCCTGATCGCTGCCTGCCACTTTAGAAATCCCCCCTGCCTGGGTTTGCATCAAATAAAAATCCCTCATTTACAGGTGTGGCCACTAGGGGGCACCATCATGAATCTGTATGTAAAATAGAATGATGAAAATATGGGGCAAAAAGCAATTACAAATGTCAATGTCACAAATCAATGCCACAATGAGGACTACAAATACACTCACTGATCCAAATTACCCAATGCCTTTTTAACAACTTGACGATTAAAACGTAAAACGTGACAATTCTCGCTAAATATGGGTTTTCATGGTATCACCTACTGTCAATAGCTCCCCTCCCAGTGTTTTGGAGGACAGGCTGGTAAAACAGAACACTGCGGTCACTGTGTTCATTGCCAAGGGATTAGAAGCAAAACTGCTTAACTGATCATGATGTTGCCCCTAACACACTAGCAAGATATCAGGAATCTTTGTCACTGTGTCACCTCTGAGAACATCTAAAGTACTGCTGGGATGGAGGCTGTTTGCTTTAAGGTTGCAGATACACATAATAAAAAAAGTTCCAGATGTGTAAGTCATCTTAGATGCTTACAGCTTTGTTTGCAAAATGGTGGTTTGGATGCTTCATATTATTTAAGTGAAACATTTTTATATAAAAATCTACTACATACGCAATATAAGAATAGTCCCATTTTGTCGCTTTATAACTTGATGTTATTGAAAATGACTTTTTAGTTTCCACAACTTGTTATAAACCTGTTATTACTATTTACAAACAATGAATTCAAGGAGGCAAGTCTTTTCCAAAGGCTGGGGCTCACATAGGGAAGAAGCAAGACTTACATTTGACCAAACACACATTTCGATCGGTTGCTCTAATGCAAAGTGCCTGAGCGTAACAATTCATGCACAGTAATATGTGCAGACAATTCTGATTTTATATGTTGCTGGTGCTTCACTGATGGTCTGGGGTATATATTAGTCGACAACTTCATACATATAAAAAAAAATATAGTTAGACGTTCTTTAGAGGACACCTATGCTTTGCATTCCACAAGAAACTCAACATACTATTTAAACTCCAGGCTAATAATGTCCTGTCTAGACTGTCTCTAGACACACGTCTCTTTGTAACTGCTGAGAAGAATGATCCGCTATTAAACAGGCTGAGGGAAGCAGGGAGGAATGAAAGGGAACTCTCTC